TCTACCTACAGAACCCATGAGGCCTGGGTGTGGACGGTGTCCCCGCTGTAAGGACACAGAGCTGGGTTTAGACTGGGCTCCTGTTCATGCCCAGGATTGTGACCCTGGACAGACTCTGTGCCTCTCAGGGCCTCCCCAGGCTCCCTATCTGCACAGTGGGGTCTTCTGGCTTCTACTTCGAGGGACGCCATCAAGGTTAGGACCTCTATGTACGTTCCTGGTATCACAGGAGGCTGGGACATGCACGTGGCAATGCAAGAATGAGTGGGGGCCTGGGCAGGGCATAGAAACAGCTCAGAGGGGCCTGGGTCTGCTCTGGGGTCCAGGCAAAGCTACTTTCCTCCTGCCTGTCTCCCAGCCCCCGTGGGAAGGTTGCAGCGAACTGATTCCGACCTTGTCCTCTTGTGACACAGACTTCCAGGGGCTCTGACTAGTTTTGGGCCCAGGTCCCAGGGCCTCGTCTGCGCCTGTGTGCTTGGAAGTCCCCACAGTAGTTCCTGGCATTCCTGAATCCTGTCACACATCTCTGTGGAATTCTCTCCCCTCCAGCATGGGTGGCCTGTGTGACTGTGCTCTAAGGAATAGAATGGAGCACAATGATGGGATGTTGTTTCCAACCTGATGGAAGAAAGTCTGTAACTTCTCCTGGTTCCCTCTCTGTGTTCATTCTCTGTCTCTGTCTTCTCTGTGTGTCTCTGTGTCTCTCCCAGCAGCAGGATCTGTGGTCTCTGGGGGCGATGTGAGAAACCTCGGAGGCCTACCTTCTCCCCATTTCCCTCTCCTGTCCTGGTGCTTTGTTCCCTCCTAAGGCCTCCTCACCCTGACCAGAGCACTGACTCTGGAACCTCTTCCCAATGGGGACCCTGAGGCTGCAACAAGGAGGGTCCTGACCTTGGTCCCCAGACCAGTGGCCCAGTGCTCTGCCACATTCTGCAAACCCAGGTCCTTAGGCCCCCAAACCCCCAGGCTGTCCTCTGGTCAGAAGGACCTCGAGGGAGTACAAAGCATTTACCCAGGACTGGGAGCACAGTGGGTCAGGGATGAAGATCCAAGGCCAACAGACTTTGCTACAAGCCTGTGGGACCCTAGGGACACCCCATCTCTATGGCACAATTGACAGAAGAGTAGCTGAGGCCTTTTGTACTGTAGCCTTGTCTGTACTTGGGGGGTATCTCTTCCTACTTCCAGTAGCCCAGGATGGTGATGGACACCAGGCCCCAGACCCTGTCCTCTCCCAGTGCCCTGGCAAATCCCCTGGGCCCCTTGGGGACCCCCCGACCATCAGCCTGTCCTGTCTCCCCTCCCCATGCTATGGATCTGGGTTCTTGCCAGGGGTCCTGATGCCCCTGACCCCATGGCCCAGCTGTCTCCGACTCTTTCTTCTTTCCCCCTTGTTACCCACCTCGCTCCCAGGGTGTCTGCCCCTTCTGACCCCAAGCTGAGAAGTCAGAGTGATGTGTGTGTGCACAGGTGCACATGCCTCTACCTGTCCGGGGATGCCCAAGGTCATATCCCCGCATGGGATGGGGTGGGTAGCTATCCCTGAGGATCTGAGAGGTCTCACACCCAAAGTGAACCTCACGGGAGGGTTGGGGCTGGCCTGGAACTGGAGAGCAGCCCTGCTTCTTGGACTCTGTACCCCCCATTTGTCCTGGTGAGTCCCTGCCTCTCTTGACCCTAGGTTCCCAACTGTCCCTGAGGGTTGGACATGGAAATGCTTGAACTTGGCCACTCTTCCAGGGGTAGGTGGAGGACAGTGCACCAGGCACACAGGCCTCCCTCCTGAGAGGGCCCGGTGTGCACAGGGGACCTGCACACAGCACCTATACCATGACCCAGTCCTGCGGCATGTGTGCACGAGACCCATGGCTCCGCACCTGACCGGTCTCCCATGTTCCTCACCACCGCCAAGGGCTCTGTGGCCCCAAAGTCCACTTAGCCCAGGAACCATGCCCACCCTGGGCAGCAAGCCTCAGGGTGCAGGGCCGGCCGGGTTGGACATCTGGGGACACAAAGGTCACTGAATACCCCCACCCAGCTGGCCGGGAATGCAAACTGCCTCCCAGGGTCCAGCTAAGTGCAGGGCTGGGCCAGAGGACCTGGAGACAGCAGTGAAGGCCGACTCAGGGCAGGGGGAAGAGCAGTCCACCCCACTGCCCTTCTCTTCTCCTCCTTCTTCCTCACCTTCCTGGTAGGACCCTGGGACTGCAGCCCTGGCTGGAGTCAGAGATGTGGGAAGGAGGCCGGGGAGAATGCCCGAGTGTGAGGGATTTTGTTACTGTAATGAGGGACCCCGTGGGCATTCAGGGATTTCAGCCCTTTTTAGACGTTAGCAGTGGCCCCAGGACTCGGCCCCTGCCCCATCCTTCACCCTCCATGAGGCCCCGCATTTCCCCCAGCCCAGTCCTTGTCTGCAGCCAGTCCTCCCTCCAGCCCCAGGAAATGCAGCTGCTCCGGGGGCTGCAAACTCATTACGAGCTGGAGCCAAGCTAGCCCTATGGGGTCTGGTTCCGGGGCTGGAGCCACACAGTGGGGAGAGGTGATTTGCCACAGGAGCTGGGAGAGGGCAGAATGGACTCTCCGTGGGGGCCGTGGCTCCCTGGTCAGCGCAGGCCCTGTTGTGTGCCGGCCCCTAGGGCACCCAGACTCCAGCTCTGAGGCAGGCTCCGGGAGGGAGACCAGAGTGTGACTCCTGCTAGCTCCGACTGTCACTGTGTCCTGTAGCTACAGTCTGTCCCACCGGCTGTACTCCCCTTCCTAGTCAGCCAGTAACACCCCCAGGGCCAAGAAGAACAGCCCATCATCCAGCTCAGGGGCCAGTGTGTGGCTGGGCAGGCAGGGGAGGGCTCGCTCTGGGCTCAGGGAATCCCTGGCTGGGCTAGTGGGGGCTCGGGAGGGCTGGCCTTCCAGCCACTCTGCTGAGCAGCCCTGTGACTGGCGCCATTTGCCTTCCCTCTCTGGGCCTCACTCTCCGCCTCTGTGCAATGTGGTGACCCTTAGTGATCACTCCTGTGGCAGGAACTATGGGATGCTGGTGACTGACCTATGATGGGCACAGAGCCTGGGTTGCAGAGTGCAGTGGGGGATGGTGCACAGTGTTACCAGCAAGCACTCCTCCTCCCAAAGCCATTCAGCCTCTCCACGCAGCTGCCAGGCCCCTGGGAGACCACATTCCTGATACCAGGTCCCTCTGTGTGGCTCTTCCTCAGCAGTGGGACAGGGTGGGGACCCTGGACATGGGGCCAGCTGCTCCCTCTGAGGGCACAAGAGCAAGGAAGACTTTCCCTGGGGTCCCCCAAGGCCACGTAAGAGGGGAGGTGGCTGCCCCCAAACAGGACATTGAAATTCTGCTTCTGTTAGAGCCTGAGCATTGGGCTTTGGTTCTTTCACTTGCTGGGCTGACGGGACACACACGCTCTCCATGACTCCTCCTCGAATGAAGAGCTCTTGCAGAGTCCTGGGAGTCCTGGAGCTGGGGAGGGGAGAGGGGCTTTTCCCCTCCCTGGTTCCTGAAGGAGACCTGCCCTCTCAAAGCGAGGATCATTTCAGGTCATGAGCCTGCGCCAGGAGCAGGGCTGGCCCCTCATGGCTCCCGACTCTGGGGCTGAGTCACAGAGGATTTTAGGATCAGAAACCTAAGTGGGATCCCCAAACTGACTCCAAATCCCTTGTTATTCCATACGTGGTAGTATTTCCTTCTTATCTCTGGTCTTCTGGATCAGGAAACATGTCAGGTCTCAGGATTTTCTTGTTGTGTGGCCAACTGGAATGAATTCAGCTGGCCCGTTTACCTCTGCCCATCATGGTCCTGAAGTCTGGAGGACCTTTGAGTAAGATACTCGAAGATGCCTAGGAATAGAGACATTATAATATTTTTTCTGATATTAAAGTTACTGAAAGAACTATCTTTTTAAAATTGATTCAGCCTCTGGTATTTTCAGAGTGTGCTCTAATACCAGTCTGAAATAATATTTAAAAACATTCCACTCAGCCTCTTCTACACAGTAAGACAATGCTTGTAAACTATTCCCTTACCCACAATAACTTATTTTGCAACCATCTTAGTGTTTATATGGTATGACTATGACTTATGTTAGTTAAAATCTGCAGAGAAAGAACTAAGACAGTGTATCCAAGCTTTAGGGGGACTTCATTTTTAAATTAGTGTTGTGACAATGAGCTACTCTGTTTTATTCTGTAGTCCAAGGGAATGGTGCCAGACATCTCTAAGATGTTGGGAAGTTCTAAAAATCTGACTTGAAATTATCTGTGTGCTTCAGGGATTTGGGCAGGATAACGGGAGGAGCACAGCTTCTGTGAACACCTCTGTTACCTCTGTTGACCATGGAACAGGTAACTTCTGTAGGCATCATTTTTATTTCTTGGTACTGTTGTTAAAGGTGCTTTTGTCTCAAGTTCCTCTCTTTAGTTGTAATTAGAATGATAGTGGAAATTTCTGTCTTTTACCATCCATGGGCCCGGATCCTGGGCTCCCAGGGAAGCTATCCTTTAACCTTTTACCAAACTCAAAATGACTGGGCAAAACCTCAGAGCATGGGCCCTATTTCTGCCCCAAGCCCATGTTGTATATCTGCTTCCAGAAGAAAAAGATAACCAAAAAAAATGCCATTGCAAACATAAAAAGAAAAAAAATGAAAGAACCTCTCCCACTCCCATAAGATTAACATCATATGGACATGCACATCCTGAAAACATAAGAAAAAGTAACTTTCTGGAATGTTCTTTTTCATGATGATGTGTAAGTCTGTATGTAAAACAAAACAGAACGAATATAGAAACCTGCCCCGAATGTTCCTCCCCCAGAGCACTCCCTTCCTTGTGAAGATTGTGTCTCCCAGGCAGCTGACCTGACTTGGTCTCTTCCTTTCTCTCTAAAATGTTTAAGGGAGTTTGTCCCTTTAGTGTCGACGATAACAGTATGTTTTCTTTTTAAGTGAAAAACCAGTGTTCCTGGGTCACAACTCCAACAGCACAGAAGGGCGGCTGTTCTTGTTCTTCCTGGAGCTTCCCTGAAGAACCAAGCATGTGTGTGTATTTTCCAGCACAAATGGGCTCATCCTAGAAGGATGCTTGGAAGGTCTGACAAGCACTCTCCACTCCATGGGTGACACCAGAAGGTGAAGCTCGTCCCCCTTAAAGCATTACTTATTGGGTCTTAAAACTGCCTTGGAAATGTGGGAAACCATTGCTTTTCCTTTTTAAAAAGATTTTATTATTTGACAGAGAGAGAGACACAGTGAGAGAGGGAACACAAGCAGGGGGAGTGTGAGAGGGAGGAGGCTTCCCGCTGAGCAGGGAGCCAGATGTGGGGCTTAATCTGGGCACCCTGGGATCATGACCTGAGCTGAAGGCAGAGGCTTAATGACTGAGCCACCCAGGCCCCCAACCACTGCATTTCCTAAAGCCTGAGACTGGGAAGGTCCGAGAGCAGCTGATCTTGCTCTCAGAAACAGCCAGGAGCCAGGAACAGCTCTGCAGGCAGGGCTGGTGCAGGAAGGGAAGGTGTAGGCATCTGAGTGGTCTGCAGCCAGGGGGGTCCCCAGAAAGGGCCAGATGTCTGGAGGAGGGGGCTCTGCTCACGACCCGCCCATGCCTGCCCCGCAGACCAGGTGTTCCAGCGAGGAGGCCCCGCCTCCGGGAGTACCCGTAAAAGCCTGGCGGCGCGGTACAGGGGTGTAGCATCCAGTGGGCTCAGGGCGCCACCCTCCCGACTGATGAGCACGTGGGGGTGGAGCTGTGTCCTCTGGGCGGACCCAGAGGTGCCCTAGGATGCAGAGGGGTGGCAGAAAAGGGGCGCTGGAAGAGTTCCTGGGGGGACCCTGGCTCGGGAAGTGTGGCCCGTGTGCTGGGGTGGGGATCCCGGGCATAGGGTCCTTGAAGGGCACATGACGGGAGTTCACTGTGGGAACTCAGATGGGTTTTCTTTTTCCCTTGAAAGTCTCTTCTGCCTGATGTCCACCAACTAGCTCTCTCCCCCCGACCCCTGAACTCCAGGGTCCTCACTCATCCAAGCTTTTGTGGGATGGGTTGCGGACATTTCAGGGTTTTCTGTGTTCTCCAGGAAGAGTGCATGTAAAGAGAGCACATGGTCCCCAACCTCAGGGGGTGCCCTGTTCCCTGGCACGGTGCAGGTAATGGACCTTGAGCAGCACCCCGAGGTCAGCAGGGTGTCCCCTGTTCCCCACCCCCCACAGGTGTGGCGCTAACAAGTGCCAGAACAAGTTCCCCAGCTTCAGCATTTTGCACTCTGTCCGGGGGCGGGTGGGAATGGGCTGTCAGGGTTGTGCACGAGGGTCCTCCAGGCGGGGGCCTGGAAGCTGGGGGAAACCAGACCCCACTCAAGTTGCATGAGGAACAGGTGAGTTGAGGTGTTCCTTTGGAAGGATAATTTCACTTTTCTGAAAAAGACAAAGTCATTGGTCTACTTTAGAATGTTGATAATTACTACTTAAGAAAAATGTGTGTTTCCAAAATGAAAAGAGAAAAGAAAAGAAACAAGAATGTGTTTTCCATTCTCCCAGAAACAGAAGCAGGTGTGCCGGCCTTAGGTCAGAGGCGCCTTCTCATCCCCACCTGACAACACTTCTCCACTCTGGCTCCACGAGACCCGAAGGTTTGAACGACAGCGTCTGAGTCAGGCAGGCAGCTCGTCACAGGACGCCCGCTTTCCGTGAAAGCAGCAGGTACGTTGGGCGCAATGTCACTTACATGTCAGGACTGGAGGTAAAACTTCTTTGCAACTGAAAACCTCCTGGGCTTTTCTCTTTTCTCTAGCTGGGCCACGAAGTCAACTGAAGCGCTGTCCGCATTCTGGATTCGGTGCCAGAGTTCCTTAGTGTCCCCGCAGGTAGGACATCGCAGGGAATGCCATCTTCTCGTTCATTTACTGCGTACAAAATCTCATCTGCACACCTGCTTCCTAGGAAGTCACTTGTACCAGAGAAGGAAGATGAGATTTGCTCCTAGTGTGTTCTTACGTATAACTGGATCCTTTGTCCAACAGCGTCTATTCCCTTGGGCCGGGGGGGTGGTCGAACGCCACCATCTAGAGTTCAGTGGCTTTCTGTGGCCGGATACAGACATGGATGATGTCATTTGTCAAAGCTGATGTTTCATAATTGATTAGTCTTTTCATCAAAAGAGTTACATTTAGGGTCAAGGGAAGATTCAAAATTATTCAAAGTCGACATTTACCGTTTAAAAGGAAAGCTTGACTTTCTAATTTGACTCAGTGTATCGTCTAGATATTTTGACATGCTGTATTTTCTCTGCAGTTTCCTTGCTGGTGGAGTCAGGAGGAGAGTCTTGGGGAATTCTCCTGGATAGAGGCATGCTGCTGGCTTCAAGGGGCTTGGCGGATGTCAGGAGCCCTGGGGTGAGTTCTGGAACTGCTTGCCTGACACTGGGTGGGTCAGTTATCCCACAGAGTTTCTGTTTCCTCCTTAAGAAGTTGCTGGCAGGTAGCATCTATGGATGCAGAAATTGCACAGAAATTGTTCTACATAATGAAGAGCAAATAAAGCGAGGTGATTTGGGCTGTATCATTCTGTAAATAAGTTTCATGACCCCCGTCGCAGGCGATGGTATTTACTGCACGAGGAGTGCGCAGAAGGCTGCAGTGAAAGACTCAGATCTCACAGCAGGTTCAGGTTCCACCAATAACGTGTCTAACAGTTTGCCCAGGTAGGAAGGTGAGTGGAGAGAAACATGACATATTTATGAAAGCCTCGGGCCAGTGTCACTGTGACAAGAGCGGGGGATCCTGGAGCTCTGCAGCAGACGGGGCAGTTCCAGGTCTGGGGAGAGCTCAGGGCTCCCGCAGGAGAGTAGAGTGCATTCCGCAGGATGGTGTGGGCAGGGCTGGCTCTGGGGGTGGCCGTGTGTCCCCCATGTGACAGTTGTGACGGGTCAGGGCTGTGAGCAGGTTCCTGGCTGAGGACAGGGGAGGCCCAGGTGGGGAGCTGGTGGGCGCCTTCATCTGTGCCACCAGCCTCAGCAACATGCACGAGCTCTCCATCTGTCCCTGTCCCTCCAGTTCCCGACTGTTCTGCGTCGCCAGGCCAAGACGTTGGTTCAGGCTTCTTTCTTTGAGTGTGTGTGTGTAGTTTCACAACCTCGATGATGAAATGTTGGGTTGTCAGAAGGTCTGTTCTCTTGTATTTCCTGCTCTCCTCTAATAAGTCACCGCTGTGAATCGTACGGGGCAGTGGAAGGGGCGATCTGTGCATTTTTATTTCCTGTTGTAGTTAAACAATGGGAAACAAATCTTCTGAAATATTAAAAGAATTCTTTGTGAGTGTTCATGTTTTTCTCTTCCGTGAACCACATTCCAATATTAGAAAATATTTTTTTAAAGTAAAACACAGGCGCAGAGCTGTAACACGGCACAGTGCCCTTTGTGAGGGGGAGAAATGGGAGAGGAGTGTAGGTTGCTGAGTAGCTCGGGGAGTGGCTCCTTGTGCTCCCAGAGAAAATCTCCCCTGGGGGGGGCTGCTCACCTGGTGGCCCATCCTGGGTTCTGAAACCTGACCCAGTGAGTCCCTTGTGACTTGACCTGGGGAATTGAGGAAGAAAACAGAGTGAATCCTGGAGGGCGCCTGCATCCTTTGCACTCCGACGACTCCACGAGGCCAAGGAACCAATCACCTGTGAGGCGTGTCAGGATCCCTGAGGGTCTGGACTTTGCTTCCTGCGAAGAGGCTGTGTCTTCATCCTCATCTGAACCAGAGCCATGTTGTCTGGTTATGGAGACCCAGACCTTTACGTGACCACGTCATCATTAATCTTGTTATTTTAAGCAATATAGACATTGACTTCGAGATCCAAATACCAAAAGGAGAAACACAAGGTCAGACAGATATATGAGGACTGAACTTGTGGCCCCTCTCATTAGTATGGGCAGCGCAGGGTGGCCCAGATGAGAAAGAACACGGGGTTCTATTTGGATAGAAGTGAGCTGTGCACATGGAGCGCTTCATTCTCTCTTCTCCCTTACTTCTCTGAGGGGAAAATGGAGTGGTGCCTGGAGCTTGGTTTCTGATTTGAAGGAATGGGAGACTAGAGATTTGAGAGCCGTGTTCATGCTGGCGTGCTGCTCCGTGCCTAGTGAGTGAGGGTTTGAAGCCTGGACTTGGAAGTGTTGGTGTTCAGGGAGGATGTGGTCCGAGTTTCCTGCACACAGAGTCACCGGCTGGTCTGCCTAAATGGACCCGTTCCTGCCTTTTGAAGGGTAGCTTGAAGGTGGCTCAAAACCCTCGGGCACTGGAGGAATGCTCTAGGAGGGACACCTGGGTGGGCCAGTGTAGACAAGCCCAGGAGATTCCAGAGCTAATGAGAACATGTGTCTGAGGCTGGAGATGGCTTCTCTGTGAGCAGCACTGCGCTGGGGAGGATAGCAGTCTCCGGTGTCGGGAGGTGTGGGCCTGGCAGGAGAGTCAGATCAGAGCTGGGAGGTTGTGAGCCATGGTGGTGGCCTTTGCTCTGGACACACAGACCCAGTTGCTCCAGGGACGGGGCTCTGCTCCC